CCCCAAAACCCCAAAACCCCAAAACCCCAAAACCCCTATTTCACATAAAAATATTGAAATAAATTTTAATTAAAATGGAGAATGATAACTCGTACGACCAGGGTAAGCGATTTTCATACTCAGGAAGCTCATTGTTGTGTAGATTCCTTTGAAAAAGAGCCCGTCAGGCCTAAGGGCGTTGAAAGAAGGGATGAAGGAATGTCCCCAATAAATGATGAGATGAACAAGCACAGAAATCCCAACAGCCAAGAAGAAAGTGATGACTTTAGTACTCTTTCCTATAATCTTTCCAGATGACTACTCCAACGACAATGAAGAGATAGAAGAAATGGTGTCCATCAACAATAATTTGAAATAAGGAGCTCCAACAGATCATCTCTACGGTAGAGTCCCAGTATACTCGCATGAAGGAAGAACGAAAACAGAAAATAGAGCAGCTCAAAATTAGAGAGGACGAGGATAAAGATGTTCGTGCAAAAGAGATGAAGCTCAGAATGGCCCAAGGCAAAGGTAATCTCTCAATTGGCTTGACTAATCTTCTTTCATAGTCAATAAACTTGAGAAAGAGATCGGATGGATGAAGCAACAGATCAACAATGCTTATGATGTTGATAACGTCCTAGCACTTGAAAATGAACTGTCTCACAATAGACAGGTTATTAACAAGCTCCTTGGCCAGAATAAGGGCCTTCTCAGTGTCAAGAAAGGACAAAGCTCAGCTATGAAGAAGCTTAACCACGATTCAGACGCGAACAAAAGGCTTGAAACTATTAAGAAGGAAATCATGGAGACCAAGCAAAGCTTAAGAGAGAAGGCAGCCAAGATTAGGGAGAAGGAGAAACAACTCCAAGAAAAACAAGCTGTCAAGTCCAGCTACGGTAATTATCCCACCTGAAATCTAGACGAGAGATACAGAAAGCTACGAATGATGCTTCTGAAGCATAAACAGTCCCATAAGAAGAATAAAGAGGATAAAATATTGATCAACTCAATGGTCTCACAGAAGCAGAAGGAGGACACTGGGGAAGATCCTGGCGAACTAGTCCAAGCTAAACTTGATGATGAGGCTAAATATATTAAGCTTCACGCTGATTTCGAGAGTAAGCCACATACCTGATTCTGTAGAAGCTATTGAGAAAGTAGAGCAGACCCTTGTAGAGAACCAGATAAAACTTCGAGATGAAAGCCGCATTATCCAACACAATCAAAGAGTTAAATAAGCTGAACCAGATATATAAGAAAAAAAAGGAGAGAGATGAACTCCAGAGACTCAAAGTTGAAGCGAAGCTAAAGAAATTACAAGAATCTACTATTAAAAAGCAGAGAAGACTTGTTGAACATCCTGGAGATCACATAGTGAAAGAAAAGGTCACCTTTGATGACAAGATCAGCAAGGCTTCTGAAGACGACAAAACCCAGGATTTCTACCAAGATCTGACTGAAGATGGCGATGATGCCAAGAAACTAAGAGTATCTGCCCAGGAAAAGTTAAAGAACAGCTCTTTCTCACATCCAAACAAGAAGGAAGAGCCCAGGCCACTTGAAGACCCCCAGCATTTGTCTAGAGATATCAACTTCAACGAGAAAGAACTGGAGCATAAGTTTACGAAGAACACTTCAAAGAGCATCTCAAAGACGAATAATGGCATCAAAGATGCCTTAAACGTTTCAAAGGATATCATGAATGTCTCTGAAGATATCCTCAACAATATCCCAAATCAGCGTGAAAAGCCTATTGCTAACCAGAGAAAGCCCCAGAAGGAAGACTCTGGGGAGAAATTTGAGCTGAACTTTAAAGATGGGCATGTGCTAACCAAGCCATTAGGAGGAGATACCTCCTTCAAGATAGAAGATAGCCCAAATAAGCCTATCCAGGCTTCTTTGAAGAAGCCTGATAACATTGCAGAGCTACCAGCCAGAAGAAGTCAATTAGCTAAGCCTAATTTTGGTTTCAAAAAGAAATAATTTTATCTTTCAAATAAGTTCCTATTGAAGGGGTTTTGGGGTTTTGGGGTTTTGGGGTTTTGGGG